ATTCCATGTCTTGGACGTTCCCGCAACCTTCAACCTACTTTTGGGGCGACCGTGGTTGCACCAGGTCAAGGCAGTCTCTTCCACTTTACATCAAATGTTGAAGTACCCTCACGGGAATGGGGTGGCTATTGTTTTCGGGAATTCATCAATCCATCCGTCGCCGGAAGTGTCCACACCACTCTTGGAAATCGAGCATGGCACTGAGGATGTGTTCTTATCAGGGTTCACTTTGGCTGAGGCTCGAGGGGTGCAGAATATTATGGCTGTGAATGAGGGGGTGTACGTCAGTGCTCAATCCGTCTACCTCATGAACAAGTTGCAACATATCCCTGGGATGGGATTGGGAAGGAGTGGCCGGAAGGGCGTCGCAGCATTGGCCGAAGTGCCACACTGCCACACAACCCTCATACCTTTGGCTTGGGTTATCTGCCCACCAAAGAGGACTGGGTGAGGAAGGGTAAAGAGATAGCTGGGAGAGCCAGAGCAAAGAAGGCGGGGAAGCCTTTTGAGTTGATGCATAGGCCCATTCAAGGTACCCTAAACGGACGCTTCGTCTGGGAGGGAGAGGATTTTCCGTTTTGCGGCTTCCCAGAGCCATGGCTAAACGCGGAGAAGAAGCGCGTGCCAGGTTTCGAGATCTTCTTCAACTTGCAACTACCCGGGATGACGTTGCCGAAGAGCAAACAGACCCATCAGCTAAGATTGGGCAGTGTAAGGCGGTGGATTCTGAAGGCGTTGAAATTGAGATGGGGGTAGCACTGGCATGTCTACTTTCAGATCCTTAGATCGACCAAAGGTGCTTGGGGGATAACTCCTCGGTTTCCATGATTGGGGATGAAACGGCTGCGGGCCTACCAGCAACTATTTTGGATGCATCTATCGCACCCTCTCTCACTTGGCAGTACGATGAGGGATTTTTGTCTAGCAGCACCGGGTCAGGTAATGAGCCGAAGTCTGATTCCACCGAGTCTTGCGAGTCAGAATCAGGTTCCAGTTCGATTGAGTCTGAGTCTGGTAATCCTGGGGATGATAACCCGGATGCCACAGTTATGTCCAGGTCATTTTTTTCTTTCTCTCGGGTCAGTTAGTGTGACACACACTTTCTAGATCTGGAAATCTCCTAATCTAGTTCTAGATCTGGTTCGAGATCTAAGAGAGAGAGAGAGAGAGAGTAAGAGTAAGAGAGAGGGAATGAAGTACAACAATGGATGTTTGGCAGCTATGGAGAAGGTCTTGGAAGGGTAAATTAGTCTATTAAAAATTAATGGGACTTAAAGGAGCAAATAATTTTATCTAGGACTTAATGGATTATAAGTTCACAAAATGGGACTTGTATGTACATGTCCCAAAAAATTAAGTGTATTTTTTTAGTTAATCAATCAATAATATAAGTCTTATTCTGTATTTGTATTTTTTTATTTTTGTTTCTAACAGAGACTCAAAGGCATAATTGAACAAAAACAAAAACAAAACCAAAAACAAAAACAAAAACAAAACAAAGCAGAGTAGTCGACAACAGAGACAAAAGCAGCCTTTTATGAAAAAATGTTAGTACATTACAAAAAAATAGAGTGTATAGATTATTGGAGAGTGCATTTAGAAGCACCCCCCCCCCCCAAAAAAAAAGACTACCGAAGTAGCGAAGAAGAGAGAAGGAAAAAAAGAAAAAAAAAAGAAAGACCTAAAATGCCAAAGAAGAAGTAGAAGGGGAGAGAGAGAGAGAGAGAGTGAGTCGAAGTCGAAGAAGCCAGAAAAACAAAAACAAAAAAAACAGACGACACAAATTAGGGGCAGAAGAAAGAGAACAAGAAGAAGGGGAGAGAGAGAGAGTCGAAGTCGAAGAAGTCGGAAAAAAAAAAAAAAAAGAAGAAGAAGGGAAAGAAGAAGAAGAAGAAGTCGCAGCGCACCTGGAATGTCGAAGTCGAGAGAGGAAGAGGCGACACAGATTAGGGGTTTCATTTGAGTCGTATTTGGGTTGTATTGTATATGAGTTGTAATCCTCTGTGGTTAGAGCCATTCGAACTCACACCACAGCCGTTAGATCAGAATTAGGACTTAAACCATCAAGCGCGCCTAGGTACGAGCCTTACGCCTCTCTCGCCTGCTTCAAGTCGCGCCTAAGGCACGCGACTGCTTCAAAGCACCTCACTTGGGACCTATTCAGGCGTACAATCTGCGCCTCGCTGCGCCTTGCGCCTAGGCGCGCTTTTCACAACACTGATCCATATATACAGCTTATGAGTGTGAGGGTCATAACATTTGTAGCCCTTCTGAGTAGCAGAATAACCAAGAAAGACACACCGGACAGCCTTAGGATCAAGCTTCCCACAAGTATGAGTTTGAAGATGAACAAAACAAACACTCCCAAAAACCTGAGGCAGAAGGGAAGAAGTGGGATAAGTCATAAGAAGAAGCTCAAGAGGAATTTGGAAGTGGAGGACGCTAGAGGGCATACGGGTAATAAGGTAAGCTGCGGTAAGAACAACATCCTCCCAAAAAGACTCAGGAACGTTCATGATAAACAAGAGAGAGCGAGCAACCTCAAGGAGATGGCCATTCTTGCGTTCAGCAACTCTATTCTGTTCAGGAGTGCCAACATAACTAGTCTAATAGAGAATGCCATGCACCTCGAGGTATGCCCTGAAAGCCCCATTAACATATTCAGTCCCATTATCACTCCTAAGAATTTTGATAGTAGCATTGAAGAGATTGGACACCATTTTATGAAAACCTCATGTTTAGTACAAAGTAAATAAATCCAAGTCACATGGGAATAACAATCAATAAACGTGACAAACCACGGATAACTAGAGGTAGAAACCACGAGGGAAGGGCCCCACACATCGGTATGAATAAGCATAAAAGGAAAAATACTTCTTTTATTAATTGAAAGATAACAAGTACGTTTATGCTTAGCAAGCTCACAAACATCACAAACAAAGTTATTCCTAGGACAATCTCGAACTAATGAAAGAAAAAGTTTCTCTAAAATGCTAAAGGAAGGATGTCCCAAACAGTGATGCCACTGATGAAGAAGACAAAGGGAGGAGCCAGAAGTGCATTGAAGAGCCTAAGAGGACAAAGCTGATGCAAGAATGGCATCTAGAGAGTACAGTCCACTTTGTGCTCTACCACTGCCAATCATTTTCCCGGTAGCCAATTCCTGAAAGACACAATGAGTCGGAAAAAAAAGTTACAGAGCAATTGAGAGTAATAGTAAGGCTACTAATAGAAAGTAAGTTAGTTGAAAAATTAGGAACATGAAGAGCAGATGAAAGCGAAAGTAAAGAGGTGCAATGAACAGAACCTTTGCCGGAGATAGAAGAGAAAGTGTCATCAGTCACTCTTACCTTATCTCACCCAGAACTAGGTGAATAAGAATGGAAAAAGCTAGAAGTACCCGTCATGTGATCGGTAGCACCGGAATCAATGATCCAAGGAGACGGCTAAGAGGTACTAAGTGCACTAGCAGAAATACCTGTGTGGGCAAAGTTGGAAGAGGCAGAAGAGGAAGGAGCTAAGGCAAATGTAAAATCAAGTTGAGCCATCAAACGTCTAAGAGTGTGAAGCTCATCTTGGGAAATAGAACCAGCATCATTCGAGGCACAAGCAGCAGTCTCAGAAACATGTGCTTAAGGACGAACACCACCACCACCACGATGGCCTTGAGTATGTCGGCCATGCAACTTCCAACAATGTTCTTTATCATGTCTATCTTTCCCACAATAATCACACTTCAACCGGTCCCGATCAACCAATGGACCCTTACCACCACCGTCAGGCTGACAACGCGGAGTATCATGTGAATTGGGGCCGACAACCATTGCTGACCAATCCTGAACAGGGGCATGCACCATAGCACCACGACGACTCTCCTCCTACTGAACTGCATAAGCCTCACGTAATGTAGGAAACGGAGAGCAACCTAACAGCTGAACCCGTATCTGATCATACTCCAAATTCAGGCCAACAAGAAAGTCATACACCCACTCCTTCTCCACAGCCTGCTGAAACATAGTGGCATCCGGGGAGCAAACTGGCTGGAAACTCTGGTAGTAATCTAGCTCCTGCCATAAACCACTCAACTCAGCATAGTAGATTGCCAGAGAGCGATCCTTTTGATCCAAACCCCTAATCTTCTTTCACAATTCATAGGCCTGTTCATCATTCCCCTGTTGAGAATACATCTAAGATGCAGCTATCCAAATCTTGTGAACAGTATCCATCAAGAGAAAAGTCTAACTAATGGTAGGTTCCATAGAATTGATGAGCCAGGTCAGAACTAAAGCATTCTCAGAAATCTATTGAGCAGATAAAGCACTATCCTCAGTAGGTTGCTGGGTACTACTAGTAATATAGCTAGGCAACCGCCGGGCGGCAATGGCAAGACTGCAGGAGCGGGACCAAATCAAGTAATTGGTACCATTAAGCTTGACCAAACTAATCTAGAGAGAAGGACTATCACCAAGAGCTATACCACGACTCAGTCCACTCTCCTCTTTGCTCTTATAGTCCTGACCCAAGCTGGCAGCCATGAGATAAGAGAAAAAGAGTGCAGAAACACAAGCAGGATATCAAACAAATCCAGAAAACACCTAACCAGCACAACAAATCACCATCTAAGGCTGAAACAGTCCACAATAAGCCTAGAACAAAGCAACCAAATCAATTAGAAGCTAGAAAACTGAAGCAGAGCATCGAAACAGCAAGAAAAAATCAAGGTAGGGCTAAAATACATCAAACCAGGGACAGCAAACCCTTCAAGGGGTCCAGTCGGCTCCCCAGGGTGAGAGGGAAAGACAAAAAACCAGCAAACAAAGGTTCAAACAGTTACTTCCGAAAAAACACCCAGTTTTGACGAAAAATCAAAAAAATTGGAAAAAACACTCAATAATGACCAACAAATCAAAAAGAGATCATACAGTGGATACCTATTAAATTTCAAGCATACTGAAACTTTTTTTTTTTTTTTTTTATTTTTTTTTTTTTTTGGTGTGCAGACATACCAGGATACAAGAACATGAAGGAAATCTTCAAGGAGGAAGATGAAACTCTGATACCATGTTGAATGTACAGATAAGAAGAAGAACAACAACAAAAAGAAACAGAACAAGAGGAAGAGAGAAGCTCCTATGTATATTATTTGATTCAAAAGCTTAGGGTTTCCCCCTTACACACAACTATTTATACTAATAAGAATTATACATAAAGACCAAACTACCCCTAACACTTAACAACATCAATAAAAGCAGAAGAATCTTTCACAAAGGTATTAGTTTACCATGTTAGATAGGATTAGTTTTAGATGAATCTTTTTTTTTTAGGAGTCTTATGACGCTGATAAAGAGGACTATTGATGTAAAACAAAAGTAGCCTTTGAAGAAGAATGAGAGTTGAATATTTGCAAGAGTTTTTCTCTGTCTCCCAAACCTCTCCTCTCCTTACATTTATATGCATTGTTTGTTCATCAATCAATTTTGGATTTGATCAATTTCAAGTAACTTATAGTTACAGTGGTGTGAAGATTGGAAAACTGATATCTCTCTATTTTTATTTCTATTCACAACTGTATCTATGTCACGACCCCATTCTGCCCCTAGTAGAATGATGCCGTGATGGCCAGTAATTCGAGATTACCAAAGGCCAACTTACAGAGATTCACGCAAACAGAGTATACACATGGGGCTTACATGTGCGGAAGCATAAATTGAAATCTAAGTAGTCCATAAGAGCTGTGCATGGATCAAATGAAATGACCTACATTTTAGCATGGTTTTACAACTTGAATATAAAAGAAACTAAAGTACATAATAAATCTTGATCAAAAGGCTTCTCAAGCCGAAATACACAAAAGAAATGAACTATAAAGCTAAGAAGCATAATCTTCAAGATGATATCAAAAGCATGAACAAAACAATCTTCCAAACAAAGTCTAGGCGACATCGCATTCTTGCTCATCACCTACATATATATAAGGGAGAGGGGTGAGCTGAAAACTCAGTGGATGATATAAATCATTAAGGTTTGAATGAATGATATCCGAGATCTTTATCAAAACAGTACATATCATAACTTGTAACAAAATCATGGGATGAACCAAATTCATCAATCAAAGTCTTTCAAAGCTTCTTGAGATGTTTACTAACATCTACATAATACCAAGGGATGACATTCCTGACAAAACAAAGGAATAACCGATCCAGAATCCAAAGCACACCCGTTCATGACCGTCGGTGGCCGACCCGGAATCAATTAGACAAACCCACCCGTGCATGACCGTCAGTGGCAAAGGAGATCTCAAACGTGGGTGCTACATGTATTAACGTCCCCTAGCACGAAAGGACCTTCCAAGAATGTCATCAAAACAAAAATAATACTTGATACAAAAGCTAAAGGATAATCATTCATACTTGATCAAATACTTTTCCAAATAAGGCAAAGCTTTTATCAAAACATTATAACATAACTTTATTAAAAATACCACTCACAATAACTCCTCGGATGTAGGGATTAAGGCAAAGATCCAAGACCTACAACCACATAGCAAAGTCCACTAAATGCATTTCAAGAAGACAAGAAAAGATGCTCAAAGATGGGTATGCAATGCACTCTCAAAACAAGCTTTACATCAGTGAAAAAGATCCCCGCATTTGTTTCCAAAACCAAGTCATGACAAAGCAAAACATGTGATGGGAGTCAAAACACTGTTTTTCTTCTTGAAAAAGCATGCTAGGTACAAACCAAGTCTCGGAATGGATGCATAGAGATGAGCTAGGCTATTTTCCAAACAAGGCAAAGCTTTTATCAAAACATTATAACATAGCTTTATTAAAAATACCACTCACAATAGCTCCTCGGATGTAGGGATTAAGGCAAAGATCCATGACCTACAACCACATAGCAAAGTCCACTGAATGCATTTCAAGAAGACAAGAAGAGATGCTCAAAGATGGGTATGCAATGCACTCTCAAAACAAGCTTTACATCAGTGAAAAAGATCCCCACATTTGTTTCCAAAACCAAGTCATGACAAAGTAAAACATGTGCTGGGAGTCAAAACACTGTTTTTTTTCTTGAAAAAGCATGCTGGGTACAAACCAAGTCTCGGAATGGATGCACAGAGATGAGCTACGCCAAAATGACCTAGCTGGGTGAACTTAGGAGGTCTTGGCCGAGGTGTGGTCTCCTTGGCCTAGGTGTGAGGTTGCCTGCCGAGATGTTACAAGGTGCCGGCAAGGGTGAACCTTGGTCGGCCTAGGTATGCAGTGGTCAGCGTAGGTGTGCATGCAAGATAGACTGAGGTGCAAGTGATCATGCAAGGTAGGCCAAGGTGAGACACGATGCTTGGCCTAGGTGTAAGGTCTGGACAAGAGTAGTCTCGGTGACCACACTTAAGGAAATAGTGAAGTCTAGAAATCTGGGTTTCCCCTTGAAGAACATGAAGAACATGAATGCCAAAAATCATAACTTCTTATTTAAAATCTGAGATTTCCTCATATAAGTTCAAAGACATGGACCTGGGTACCCATACTTGGAGATTTCATAAAAACAAACACAAAAACATGGAACTTGATACAAACTTTCGGATCAAAACATGGTTTTCCTTCAAGAACATAAGAACATCACTTTCTCTTTCTAAAACAAAGCTTTAAATCAATGCATGGCTTATGAATCATACTGGATCATGCAATGTGATCAGATTAACATAAAGAACAATAAGAGTAGATCAAGAATCTAACCTCAAAACACGAATCCAACGGTTCAAACTCTAAGGATCAAGCTTGGAAATCTAGTTCTCTCTAAGAACTTCTTCTTCCTCTTCCTAGAGCTTCTCTCTCCAAGGCAAAGATGTAGCAAAATGAAATGGGTTTCTCACTGCTAACCCTGAATAATACCCACTTCTGGGACACGCGGCATCATCTGGTCAAATCTGCTCAAAAGGTGCCAAAATGAAAAGACAAAAGTATGACAAAGTGTGTTTAACAAGTAAGGTGGCATGGGCACTCTGACAAGGTAATGATCCTGGATCAAAACATAGGCATCAGGCAAGTAAGGTTTCCCTGATCTTGGCTAGGAAGGATAACACTTGACCTAGGTGTGCCACACCTTGGCCTAGATGTGCCACACCTCGTCCTAGGTTGTACCAGTCCAAGCCTAGGTTGCTAGGTGTTGGCTAAGGTGCACAACAAGGCTTCAAGATTCAAGGATCAAAGATCTAAGATGCCTAGATGATAAGCATCTCGGCCTAGATGATACACATCTCGGCCTAGGTGACGCACACCTTAGCCTAGATGATGCACATCTCGGCCAACATGCCAGGGTGATGGTGGAGGTCAACCAAGGTGGTTCCAAGATGGTCCTAGGTGTTGACGCTCAACGGTCTAGGTGTAAGAGGTTCAAATGTGTGACCTAGGCATGAGACAGCAAGGATAGATAGCCTAAGCTCAACACACAAAGCAAGGAACAAAGCATGCATATGACACTTAGGCAAAACACGTTAGCACAAAACAAAGTAGGATCCTTTACTTAGGCATCACAAATCAAAGTCTGCAAATGTAAGCTTAACAAGGCAAAATCATATTAATGCTCATGAATATGACTAAGACAAGAATCAGGGTTGTTATAATCTAAGTAATAGAGTTCTTTGGATTGACGTTATTTGCTTGCTGATTATTTTTCCACTTTTTGTTGGCCATGCTAGATGATGACTTGTGTGACATTTTATTGTGCAGTTATATAAATGAATTATATTCTTAAGTTCTAGAGAAATAATGGGTAGCCAAACTCCCACAAGCAATGATCGTTCAAGAACATACTGGACACCGACAATGGAACGTTATTTTATTGATCTTATGCTAGATCATATGCATAGGGGGAATAGGACTGGCCATACATTCAACAAGCAAGCATGGACAGATATGCTTTCCGTGTTCAATGCAAAATTTTCCTCTCAATATGACAAAGATGTCCTGAAAAGTCGTTATACAAGTTTGTGGAAGCAATTCAACGACATAAAGAATCTTCTTGGGCAGAGCGGATTTTATTGGGATGAAAGTAGACAAATGTTGGTAGCTGATGATTATGTTTGGGATGCATACCTCAAGGTGCATCACTTTTCCTTTCATATCCTAAATTTTTCTATATCCTTCTTCTTAATTAATATTAAATTACATGCAGGTTCACCCTGATGCACGGCCTTACAAGACTAAAACAGTTCTGAACTTCAATGATTTATGCCTGATATATGGGTATACGAGTGCTGATGGAAGATACAGCCGTTCAAGTCATGATGTAGATGTTGAGGATGACATCCAAGGAGTGAATTTGGGTGTGTTTCTTTTTTTCCTGTTATGGATATAGGCCACACTTGGCTTTGTCGTTGCCTTCGGAAAAATATCTTGTTATAATGTGTTATTGTTCTGAATGGCTAAGTCCTGTCAATTCGATACTTTCCAAATGGAGTAAGCATAATTAAGAAGTCAAAAGCTTTGCATCACCTTACGTTGCTTTTGATTTATGAACTGATCCAGAAGTCTTCACAATTTACTCTAATTTGAACTTCAGTAAATTTCTGAAAGAAATGCTGTTGTATGTAATCGGACTTCTCTTCTGATGTTTCGTATCTTTGTTCTTTAGTTAGTGAACTATACATGTTAGTAACAAAATTACAACATTTATCAATGATTTCATTCTTCAGCTGATGGAATTGGTAGCTTGGCCCCTTCAAGTAGTGAGCGTTTGAGGACAGATTGGAATCCAGATATGGACCGATATTTCATTGAGTTGATGCTGAACCAACAAGAGAGTGGCAATAAGCTTGATAATACATTTAACAAACAAGCATGGACAGATATGCTAACTTTGTTCAATGCAAAATTTGGTCCTCAACATAGTAAGAGGGTTTTAAGACATCGATACAAGAAACTGTGGAAGTACTATAATGATGTAACAGTTCTGCTTAAACAAAATGGGTTCTCTTGGGATGAGTCACAAGAAATGGTAGTAGCTGATGATGATGTTTGGGATGCTTATGTCAAGGTATATTTCTTATTTAACTAGAGCTTGTTTGTTCCTTTCTTCATTGCTGATGTTGCTTACTTAACATATATGTAGGCACACCCACATGCGCGATCATATAGAATCAGAATGTTGCCAAATTATAAAGATTTGGGATTCATATTTGGAGATGCAATCAATGACGGGATTCAGAGTGATTCACGTCAGGATAAAGAGCTTGAAGATGATACCTCGGGGATAAAGGCTGGTGTGTTTGAATTTTCCATTACCAAGTTGGGACTTATTATTTATCATAAACAATGTTGTAATTATTTTGTTTCTGCTAGTGATAGTATGGGTTGTCTTTTTATTTTTCTAGTACCCCATGATGTTGAATGGTCACAATTTAAGATTTGGTTCTGATCAAGGGGCTAACAATCTCTTGTAAAGTTCATGAGCAGTTGTGGTCAAGTGAAGATGTGGGTGTTTGGTTTGGTTATTGTTTGATATTTTATTGTAATGGGAATGGACTTGCCTGAGGCAATTGACATGTAAATAGGAGTTGTGTTTGAAATTGTCTGGTTTTGATTGTTGATGATGAACTAGGTTTTTTGCTTAAGCTAATGGCATTTGACCAAGAGTCCTTTTAGTGCTATTTTACGCACCCCTCTTCCTTCCATTTTTTGTGTGTTTCTAGACTCTTCAGCTTTCCCCTTTGTGCTTTGTTTCCCTTTCAATGCAGGTTAGTCATCCCCTTCTCCCCTCCCCGGGTGCTTCTTTTTCCTATTCGTTTTTTTTAATTGCTTTTGCAAATACAATTTGCAGTCATTCCAGTTCCCTGAGATAACATGTCAGAAACTAAGCTCAATACATGGGTAGCCCATATTAACAGTTGAAAAACCTAGCCCACGCTTCTCCTTAAAACCCAGGTCTTAAAGAGAGGGAAACTAGAGCCTTATAACCAGTATAGATGGGGCAATTCCAAGCGATGTGAGACACATTCCAACACACCCTCCTGGACCACAACATACACCAGCTGGACAAACGGCCCACCAGTTACAAGCCCAATCAAGCTCTGATACCAAGTTAAAAAGCCTATCCCACACTCCTTAAAACCCAAGTCTTAAGGAGAGGGAAACTAGAGTCTTATAACCAGTACAAATAAGGCAATTCTAGGCGATGTGGGACACATTCCAACATTAACTAGGTTTAAACATTGATAACTAGAAATAGTTGAGTCAAGTGAGGCTTATTGCATGATTCACCTAACCCAGCTGAGCTAATAAATGCTGCAAAATTTTAGTTTAGAATCTAAGAATGGTTATGCAGTGTCAAAAAGTCATCATTGATTTACTATTGTACTTTTTCCTTGTAAACCTAAAATCTTCTATGAAAGAAGGGCTAGTCTGACAAACAGGATGTTGGTTTTGTAGGTGGTGAACGTTCAAGAACATATTGGACACCACCTATGGACCGTTGCCTCATTGACTTGTTGCTAGACCAGGTTCATAAAGGGAATAAAATTGGGCAGACATTCATTAGCCAGGCTTGGAATGACATGGTTGCATCATTCAATGCCAAATTCAAATCTAATTATGACAGAGATGTCTTGAAGAATCGATACAAACATTTGAGGAGGCAGTACAATGATGTTAAGGTTCTTCTTGAGCAGAATGGGTTTTTTTGGGATGAAACACGAGAAATGGTAACAGCTGAAGATCATGTTTGGGATACTTATACCACGGTGAACTTCTTTCTATTCACTCATTTATGTCATTCTGCTTATATCCAAGTTTTATGAATAAGTGTTTTTCATGCAGGCACATCCTGATACTCGATCATACAGAGTTAAAACTGTGCCAAGTTATCATAAATTGTGTGTTATATACGGACAAGACACATCTGATGGAAAATACAGCCGTTTGGCTCGCAATGTAGACCCAGACTGTGAAGTTCCCCTTCTGATGATAGGTATGTTCCATCTATTGGTTGTGACAAGTTGATCAAATATTCTATAATAGATAGGGAAAAGAATTTTCTGTTTCTGTGTTTCTGCACACTCGTTTCTTTTTTTGTGGTAAAACTGGAAAGGCGCAACTTTTAGACATGAACTTTGTATAAGACAAAAATGAATACTGTTTACTATAAAAGCAAGTATGAATTTCAATTTGTGTGATTTTATGAGATACGTAGAATTTGCTTGAATATTGTTTTTAGTAAAACACACGTCTTTGTTAGGACTTGCAGCCTGCCTTTCAAGTCTAATTTCTGGTGCCATAGTACTTCTTGAATCTTGCACAAAAAATTCATTGATTTGCATTTTTTCCCCTCTCACATAACTCCTCTACTGGGAATTTATTTTTAACATGCATAACTTGATCTTATGCATGTCATTGTTCAATCTCTTATATTAGATTGGATATTGTGCATGGTTCCAAGCTCATTTGATTTTCTGAACATTCCTCGAGTGTGAACATATGCCTTTTCTTGTTTTCCCTATATTTTTATTTTTTCTAACTTGCATAAATTGGCTATATTTCAAATTCATTCTTGATTTGTTTCCGAATTCTTCATACGCACTGGCACTGTCTGATATATGACATTGACAATCCTGAAGAAATGAGGAGAATGCATCCTGCAGTTAATGTAGGTGTAGAAATTTAATGTATAAAGAGAAATAGAGAATTGTATTATTGATTGATTTATATTGATTTATGTTGTGTTGTTATGTTTACAATGATCATATATATAGAAGAAAATGTGGTAGTAGGTGGACTGAAGTGGAGGTGGTAGGTGGAGTGGGTGGTAGTGGAGGTGGTAGGTGGAGTGGTATAGGGTTAAAAGGGCTTTAAGGGTGTAATAAAAGGTATAATACAAAATTGGTTGAAAAATTCTTAGTTTTAGTGGAAGTGATTTTCTTGGAATTAAGATCATTTATTGCTAAAATTTCAGACAGACATTATCCTATGGTTTTTGATGCTTGGAAAAGAGAAATATTTAAGAAAAGCAGTAGATTCATCAAATTATGATGTTTTTTGGTACAGAAATTAGGGACAGATTCTGATCAAGACAATTAAATCTTGTCAAAGAAAATTTTTGGAATCACTAGGTTGGGATCCAATCACGTAACCCCTAAAATGCAGCTAAAAACTTCTATAATTTCATCTCCGTTGAACTAAATGAGTTTATAGATATATATATATATATACTCATATTTCTCTTTAGATTCTACTAGAACAGGGACTATCAAAGTAAATTTTCAATGAATGAAACTATTTTTTTATTTTTGATAGATAAAGTATGGATGTACATTTGTAGAGATTCAAGAAAGGAGTCACCCATGCAAACTAGACATATACACCAAGAAAGAAATCCAAAGCCATTTTTTGCTCCACCGACCGCATCGGAAAGTTCAACGGAGCAAACACAGAGGTGTTTGGTTGAAGTTCACTGGCCACCGCACCAGTTCCCTCTCTTGTTGACTCATTGAGGTCGGGAAAGAGAGTGAGTAGACCACGGGATGAAGAGGCCATGTTCTGGGTAGCTGAACGGGAAGAAGAGGCCATGTTTTTTGGGTTGCTGAGTGTTTCCGAGAAGGGTTGGATACAGAGTATTTACAGATTGTTTCAGAATAACAAGTTCAGAGGTTTCAGTCTGGTTTGGTTTCCTCCGCCTCCGCATTGGTTTATATTGACACAGACGACGCGGCCGACACGCCGCTCTGTCGCTCACGTGCCTCGCCGCGTCTCCGGCTCACCTTTTGATGGCTCGACGCTTTCTGTCGGGCACGACTTTTGATGAAGTGGGTGGTAGTGGAGGTGGTAGGTGGAGTGGTGATTTATTATTTACAATTTACATTAACAGTAGGATTGAAGAATAATAATGGAAAAATAGGGTTAAAAGGGCTTTAAGGGTGTAATAAAAGGTATAATACAAAATTGGTTGAAAAATTCTTAGTTTTAGTGGAAGTGATTTTCTTGGAATTAAGATCATTTATTGCTAAAATTTCAGACAGATATTATCCTATGGTTTTTGATGCTTGGAAAAGAGAAATATTTAAGAAAAGCAGTAGATTCATCAAATTATGATGCTTTTTGGTACAGAAATTAGGGACAGATTGTGATCAAGACAATTAAATCTTGTCAAAGAAAATTTTTGAAATCACTAGGTTGGGATCCAATCACGTAACCCCTAAAATGCAGCTAAAAACTTCTATAATTTCATCTCCGTTGAACTAAATGAGTTTATAGATATATATATATATATACTCATATTTCTCTTTAGATTCTACTAGAACAGGGACTATCAAAGTAAATTTTCAATGAATGAAACTATTTTTTTATTTTTGATAGATAAAGTATGGATGTACATTTGTAGAGATTCAAGAAAGGAGTCACCCATGCAAACTAGACATATACACCAAGAAAGAAATCCAAAACACAAAACTAGAGCCACTATGCAAAAATGGATTACACCAAAGAATCAAACGAAAGGAAGGCTTGCAAAAATTCCCTTTAAGCTAAAAATGAACACAAGAAATTGAAGATATTCTATAAATGGCCATCCCTATATCTTCAAAAGTGTTTCTATTCCTTTCTCTTTCCAAACACACTACATCAAGCACATAGGCACTACCATCCACGCCTTTTGTAAACTCTTTAAATGATTCCCATGTGCCCAATTTTATTAGAACTCCACTAAGGCTAGCATCATCCACGCTACTCCAAAAATCACAAATAATAAATTAACAATACTAAAATGAGACTACTGAATCAATTAATTAATCACCAATATAAATCATGGTTGTTAAAATCCTGATCCGGATCCAACAATTTTATGATTCATTTGGCCAAAATTGATCCCAATTGTGTAGAAAATCCCTAATAGGTAGGATCTTTTGATCCTGATAGTTGGATCTTGTTAGGTTGTGGAATCTCAATTCAGGTATGATCCTACTAATCTAATTTTTTAGCCTTGTTTTGCATTGTACGTGGCTTCTTTTTTCTTATTTTTGATGTTTGTGGTCTATATACAAATTTGACACTGCCCAAATGGGAAAAAAAAAAAAAGTCATTTCTAAATTTGAAGGATGAGAGATTGATTGGCTGTTACATGGACTCGGATATGGGGTTAGGTGTAGATATGTTTCTAAAGTGTAGGATTCATTTAATTCTCATGTTAAAGACAACTGGACATGACTATAATTCGTATTTCTTAAACACTACTTTTATGTTTCAAGGATAAATTGATGTTTACAAAATTAAATACATTTTATATTTAAAATGCAAGTCTTATGCATAGTTATATAGTAAACTTGATTGCTCATACATCCTTGTTGGATGCATGGCCAATTAGGCATATTGGACATGTAGCGCATACCCAAGTATCAAGTGTCTGATATGAGTTCTTCACAAATTTATAAAAGCCCATGTAACTTGTAGTTAATAGGCATAAATATGCGTTGTTTTGTTATCATTGAATCTCCCAAGTTAGTTTATTCAAACTTGTAATGTGTTTAATGTGTCATGTATCTCCCAAATGTATGAAGTGTTTGCAGGTCTAAAAAATTTAAGAAAATAATAGGAAACTCTTGGACTTATGTCCAACACACATCCAAATGTGTACTAGTATTTTTAAATTTTTAAAAGTGTTTGTGCTTCTTAATCTTAGGTTACATGTGATCTACACCATTGCACTATTCTGCAGCACACAGAAGCAAAATACTTGTCCATTGGCTTGTATAACTTATCCTGGAATGTTTAAACTTTTAATGGTATACAAATGTAAGGATGTTGATCCATGTGTAGCTTCATTTTCATTTCTACTTGAAGCAAATCAGAATTGCATTTTTTGTGATATACATGCACATCTAAAGCAAGGTTTCCTTTATTTATTTATTAAATTTTTGATCTTCCTATAAATGGTTTTTCTCAATTTCTAGGTGATGGGAAGGAAGACGAGTTCCATGCTAGTGCACATCCGGTGATGGATTGGACACCATCAATGGATCGTTACTTTATTGACGTTATGTTGGAGCTGGTGCATAGAAGGGATAACATCAATCACACATTCGATGAGCAAGCTTGGGCATACATGAATGCATCATTTAATGAAAAGTTTGGTGTCCAGTGTGACAAATATGCACTAGAAAATCAGTACATGTGCTTGATGAAACATTACAACGACATCAACAATCTTCTCAATCAAAGCGGATTTGCATGGGATGAAAGGCTGCAAATAGTTGTGGCTGATGATGATAAATGGGAAGCTTATATAAAGGTTCATTTCTTTGGCTTTGTTGGCTTTTCTAGTTCGGCTTATTTTTGTCTTTAATGCACTTTCTTTAAAATTTTGTTTAATTTTTCTACTTTTTAAGCCCTTGACTAAACTATCCTAAAAATTAAAAAAATTTGATTTTTTTTTGGATGAATTACACTAATGGTCCTTATAATTTGGGCTTGTGTCATTTTGGTCCCTGAATTTTTAATTGCGACACATTTGACCCTGAATTTTGAATCTTGTTTCAAATAAGGACAATTGTAGATACTATTGGATTTTTCAAGGGTAAAATCGTCAATTTGATAAAATATAAATTAATTTGACAAAAATAAATGTCAAAAATATATTTTTGAATTTTTAAAAATTATTTCTAGCTGCTAAAGATAAAATTATATAAAATTGATAAATCTTTTAAACATTTTTTTTTTTTGCCAAATTAATTTTTATTATGTATTTGGATGACGATCATGTAAAATTAATTTTTAAAAATTAATCATGTAATTTTTATTAATTTTTATCAATTTTACATAATTTTATTTTTGGTGGGTAGAACTAATTTTTAAAAAAATTTAAAATATTTTTTGACATTTATTTTTGTCAAATTAGTTTATATTTTATTAAATTGATGATTTTGCACTTGAAATTAAGCAATGGTATGTTCAATTGTCCCTATTTAGAACAAGAATCAAAATTCATAGTCAAATATGTCACAATTGAAAAGTCGGGAACTAAAGTGACCCAAACTATAGGGGACTATTAGTGTAATTTGCCCCTTCTTTTATGGAAAAAAAAAACACTCAGAAAAGAAGAAAATAAACCAATTTCTGTAAGTTTATATATATAAAAGGTGTACCCAGTGCACGAAACTCCCGCTTAAGCGGGGTCGGGGGAAGAGTTGATGTACGCAGCCTTATCGAAGAGGATGCCTCCGCGACGCGAACCTGTGACCACCAGGTCACCAAGGGGGGGCTTTATCGCTACGCCGAGGGTGACCATTGGTTCAATGGTAAAATCTTGGCCTAGTAACCTTGAGATTATGGGTTCAAATCACGGGACAACCACTTTGTGCACTATACCAAAGGTTAAGGGTGTATCCAATCTTTCCCCTCCTAGACACATTAATGTGTACTAATTGGGTGTTGTTTATATATATATGTGTTTGTGTGTGTGTGTGTGTAATATGGGCTATTCTTCTTTAGTGAACTTTTTTCAAAATTGACTCAAAATTTTCTTTTAAAATGTTTAGATTCATCTAGTCATGACGGACCCAAAAAGTAAAAACGAAAAAGTTGACTCTAAAAGTTGAAAACAAGTTTAGAAAAAACACAAAAAGTCGAAAACATAAGATGGCATATAGATTATTTCAGTTCTAATTTGTTTGAAGGGGTGATTCCTGCTATCCATTTGTATCTTATTTGGTTCTCCACTATTGAAAGTTTTTCACTATAATGCAGTTAAAAATCAAAGCAACGAATTATATTTACCATTCACTATTATTGGATTATACATATTGGTATCGGTCTGCTCTAGAGATATGTCCACTTTGACTTCGAGTTGATTATTGATGTTACTTATTACTGTAGCATAAAAATGATATTTTGCAGGAACACACAGATGCAATCGCTTACAAAAATAAAACCTTGGGGTATTACAATGACTTGTGTATACTTTTTGGGAGCAAAATAGCGGACAGAGGATTAAGCTGTCAAGATATGGGGACAGAGATTGACTATAAAGCCCTAGAAATTGAAATGGATCAAGCTTCTGGGTGCATTCAAATTCCATTATTGGATGTTGACACCTCTGATCGAGGGAAAAAACGGCCAACTAAAATGCCATCAGTCTCGGGACGATCTAGAAAAGTGCAGAAAACTGGTGAAGAAATTCAAGAGCCTTGTATCGATACCACCAGTGTAGTAACAAGGTTGGTTAAAAAGCAAGAAAAGAGCTATGACTCAATAGCAAATGCCATTGATGCACTTCAAGCAATATCGGATATTGATGATGAGCTATTGTTGGATGGTTGTGACCTTTTGGAGGATGAGAGGAAAGCAAAGACATTTTTGGCTTTGGATGTCAACCTTCGGAAAAAATGGTTACTTAGGAAGCTTGGCCGCTAGGGGCCTATGCCATTGTTCAAGTGTGGTATGTTCTGAAATGTTGATTTACTTTGAAGAGTTCTGACAGTTTAGGTTAGCGGTTCTTTTTAGCAAGTTTGGCAACATAGCTTCTGGGTTTTTTACCTTGTTCATATTAATATTCCCTACAAATTTTTGAGCGGGTTTGGCTTGCAAGAAATTGTTCATGAGCCATTATTCTAGTGTTGATGCAACTCTCTCTCTCTCTCTCTCTCTTATTTTTTAGTTACTTTTTAAAGTAAAGTAAAATGGAGTTCAAAACATGGGTCATCGCTCATTCCTTTGATCCCGAACCATATTCAAAGCCCGGTTATGGTCTTCTTGAACTATTTTAATTAAAACCCTAATCTTTTTAGAGTGAGAATTGTAGTGTGTTGGAGTGATTTGTAGAAAAATTACAATATTGTTATTGTTTCTATTTCTCTTGTCTAAATGTGTCTATATTTATAGTTGTTATGCCTTTACATTTTGTGTTCTTTGAACATGATTGTGTAAGTATGTTTGATTGAATCTTTTCCAACTGTTGTATAAAAGGTTGAATTGTTTATTAATGTCTTGTTTTTGTTTGATTGCATTCTCAAAGCTTGTGCCATGTAACAGGGTTGGCAATTGGGGAGCTTCTATTTCCACTACATAATTTCCACTTGACACCCTTTTTCTTTTCACTCATTCAAAAATTTTAAAATTTCTATTTCATCTCTTTGCTACCTTAAATAATTCAAAAAATAATCTCATCGTTAATCTTTCTCCTCTGTTTACGCTTAATTTTCCAAACCCTAACCCGCATCCATCATCATCTCCAAATAGCACCCGTTATCATCTTTGCCTCCCTTACAGTCTTTGATTTGCAACACTTTTTTAACTCGTCCATTGAAATGAAAAATGACAATTTCAAGATTTTTGGTTTTTTTTTTTTTTTTCAGCTTTCATGTTTTGTTCGATGAACCAAGTCGAAGTTTGTTCGGTACATGGCCACACAAATCAAGTTTGTTTGGTCATGTCCATCGAGCGAGTCAAAATTGATTAACTAGTCATGTTCGACCATAGGAGTCCAAACAAACTTAAATTGTTCGACTATTAAAGGACAAACAATCTCAATTTGTTCAGTGACCCAAAGTCCAAAGAAACTTTAAACCCACATCTTTTAAATAAATAAAGTGAAACAAAACACCAAAATGTTGAAATCGTACCCAAACAACTTTTAAATACAAAAAATATTTATTATTTATTTATAATGATTATATATACATGTAAATAAAAAATTTATTTATTTTATTTTGGGTCAATTTCTTTTTGTTTGTTGTTTGTTTATATATATATATATATATATATTCTTTAAAGTATATGTATTTAGATTTGCAAACCGTTTACCTTTCTCAACATCATTTCACATCTAAAAGAGAAAACCCCCAAAAAAATGATGTGCAACAGGCGGTAGCAATGTTGAATACTAAAAAATATCTCAATAACAAAACAAGTAATTTAGCAACCTAATTGTCCACTTTAAACTATAAGAATTCTAATATAGCCAACATCTCAAAAAATTTAGAACAAACTACACATTTGGCTACCAATAGGTGTTATGGTGGCTATGTTTTGTCTTACAGACTGTAAATATAAATGATGGATGTCATTCCAATCACATAATACATTGACCATCTTCCACGGTTAGACATCAGAACCTATGTCACATCTTAAGGAGATTATTGATTAATTGAGATATCACCAAAAACCATTCCAACCCTCCAGTTTTCGAAACCCACTCTGACTGAATAATTTCACTTCTGATGATTAGAATTCTCATCTTCTTCCACAACACTCAAAAGCTTTAATGCATAGCCATCAACAAACTCATTTCACCCTTTTTCTCTTATCCTTGTCCCTCTCTCTGTCTCTATCTCTATCTATTAGAAAATTATGACAATTTCCTTTATATACTCTGATACCACTTATGGAAAATTAATTCCACTGATGAGATATGAGAATGGAATCCCACTAATATATTGAGAATGAATTTGGAAAAACAAACATACTGATTTTATTTCTTTAATTTTATGGATATATGTAGTATCTCTTTATCTCATTGATCTATCTCATCTCTCATAATCTATATCACGATCTAATACAATAACTAATACAATCTATTTATAAGAATCCGTGTGTGTGAGTTGTATACAACACATAACTTCACGTTTTCCTCATTTGCTTCATGGTGAAGCTTTTGACCATTACTGGGTTTTTCTTCTTTCTTCTTCAATCTTCTTCATCATTCTGCAAGCTTCTTCTTTCTTCTACATATTTAACATGTGATGCTTCATTGCTAAGTATGAAGCTTCTAGTTCTTGATGGAATTAGGTTTGGATTTTCAATATCCCCCCTCAAACCCAATTCGATGGGTTTCTTCATTCTTTCAGTAACTGCAAGCATTAAAGCGTTCTCTTTTGCTGTGAGGATCTTTACTCTTGTCCTCAAATGTTTGTATGCCACATATTTGATTATTCTCTTGTACTTGTGGTAGACCTTCAATGTTGCATTCTTTAGTTGTTTTCCAGCATGAGCATTGCACTGGACTTTCTTCATTCTTAGGCATTTAGTGGATGTTTTATCTTGATGACTTTTCCACTTTGCCTTTTGTTGAGATTCTTCAATTCTTGTCAGATCATTGCCTGTGAAAAAGCAGAGTAATTCAAAGTTTTCATCCATGCGTCTGGTTACATCATAGATATCTTGAATTGGTGATCCTTCACTTGAAATGTTGTTTGTCCCCTTTTGCGGTAAGTTTGGGGTCATTGTGGTCTCCATGTCTGGTGACTCTTCTTCTTGATTGTCATCTAAAGATAAGCTCTTTGTCTGAGCATTTGTTCATTTGGCTTCTGGCACTTTGGCATATGCAATGCAACTAATAATTTGCAAATGGTTGACCTTTGGTTTGTTGCTGCTCCAAGCTTCTTCTGGTGTGTTGTTGACTTTGTATGGAAGCAAACTGGTGGATCCTATGTTCCCTTCTTTGATAAAATGGACTTTCTCTTCTTTAGTGTTGGTGTTTTGATACCAACAGTCCTTTTTAGAGTGTCCAAAATTTTGATTATTTGGCACTGTACTTGAACTCTTCTAGATTGTTGAATAGGTCAGATGAATCTTCATTTTCCTCGACCTCTTTGGGAATTCTTTAATTTTATGGATACATGTAGTGTTTTTTTATCTCATTGATCTATCTCATATCTCATGATCTAATACAATAACTAATGCAATCTATTTATAGGATTACAATCTGTGTGTTCACCACGTGTGTGAGTTGTATAAAGCACATAACTTCACGTTTTCCTCATTTGTTTCATAGTGAAGCTTTTGACCACTAATGGAGGCGAGCTTCCATAAAGCTTCCTTATCTTCTTCTTTATGCTTCTGGGTTCTTCTTCTTTCTTCTTCAATCTTCTTCATCATTTTGTGAGCTTCTTCTTTTCTTCTATACATTTAACATGTGATGCTTCATTGCTAAGTATGAAGCTTCTGGTTCTTGATGGAATTGGGTTTGGATTTTTCAACACTATCTCTATCGTGGTTGTCCCTCTCTCTTCTGTTGACCTGGGTTTAAGCCAACATCCTGCCATGGAGGAGGTCTGGATTGAGGCCGAGTCACAGTCGACTTCTGGCGCTTTGCATTGTACCCTTTAAGGAAATGAAGTTGCGCATTTACCACTACCTATGAATTTTGGTGAGATGGTAAGCGCTTGATCCTAACATCTTCTCCCGTCCCCTCCCACCTTCTCGATCATGAGCTCTACCTCGGTCTCTATCACAATCCCTTTCTTGGTCCCTATCCGCGTCACTTTCCTTCTCCCTATCCCTATCTTTGCTCGATGATTTGCATTGTGGGCTCTCACTTTCGTTCATGTTGCGGTGCCTTTTTCTCAAAGATTCTCTGGTATCATCTTTTCTGTCCCTCCTGCTCCAAAGATGATCTCTGTGCAGTTTCAAGGAGTAGAACAAATATCATCTCTTGTCCACATCCCCTGATAACACAAATGCAATACTAAGACAAGCAGCAGATGTGAAAAATGCCATATACACACAAACCTATTATATTAAGCGCACTAACAAATGGAATGAATATTTTTTCCCGCCTAGTTTGGGACTAAAATCAAGACTCAAGTCATAGATTGCAATTTATCACGTCCTCTAATATATATATATATATATATATATCATCAAAAACCCAATAGCACTAGAAAAATATTTGAACATATCTAAATTTGGGACAAGTCGGATAGTAACAATAGTCAAAACATCCCATATACTAGAAGTGACACCCAAGCACCAGATATTATATCAAAAAATGTGGCCACAACCATTATTGTCAAATCGGGAATCGAATTGTGAATCTTAGAATTCACTTTATTTAGCATAACACATAATTTTATATATGCATATAAAAATATATTATATATATCATCAAAAACCCAATAGCACTAGAAAAATATTTGAACATATCTAAATTTGGGACAAGTCGGATAGTAACAATAGTCAAACATCCCATATACTAGAAGTGACACCCAAGCACCAGATATTATATCAAAAAATGTGGCCACAACCATTATTGTCAAATCGGAAATCGAATTGTGAATCTTAGAATTCACTTTATTTAGCATAACACATAATTTTATAGATGCATATAAAAATATATTGTTTAAAATGAAATAAATATCAATATAACTAAATTACATATTTAAATATAAACAAAATCACATATATCAATACCATTAGTTTATTTCTTTTTTCTTTTTTTTTATTTTGCAAAAAATGACACAGTTTCATGCAAAATATAACTGATTCACTTAAACCGTAATAAATCGCAATGAATAGTAGTAAATCGTAATTGAATCATAGATTCACTCAAGTTAAGATTCAACTACATGAATCAAATCATAAATCGTAAGGTTATAACAGCCATGGCTACAACCATATATATTCTAGTTAACTATACCATCAAAGACCTTTTATGAAGCTATGGAAGGTCTCTTCTCTTTGGATCATGTGTGGTGTTTTTGGAACAAGAGAAAAGATGTTTTGATGGTTGTGAGAAGTCATCTTTGAACGTGAAGGGAACTTTTCTTGTTTCCCCCATTCTCATGGTTGAGAGAGATTTCCTTTTTGCCATGATTGATTTTGTAGTTTTTTTTTTTTTTAAATGTGTGTACATCTTGTGTACAAGTTGCACTTCCTTTATGACATTTGATTGATTAATGAATTTGACTTAGCAAACAAGCATGCTCACAAGCCTTTTCGAGCCACCTTAAACATAAGCACTTCTATGATGTTCTACCACTACACCTCATTTGCAATCATAATTGCAAAAGAATAATGAATGCAAGAACAACATCAAGGAGCCGCTAAGAAGTATGGATATGGACATGGAATCATAACTCTACTTTCAGTTAATTCTTCTTGGAACAAAAACTAACAT